TTTCATAGCTACATGGTTTCAATTCTGAATGATTCCTGCAATTGTTTTTCTATCCTTAAACCACAAAAGTAGATCTATTATTTCCAAATATCCTGTATATTGAATTTGGTTCTTTAAATTATCCTTACTTTTAAATTGATTATAAAGAAAAATTATTCTGAGGCTACTAAAGGGATTAGTAAAATTTAATGCAAATAATTCTAAATAATAAATGCTTATATTTGTATGAACATGATACTTTCAGGTCCAAGGAATCGGTCCTACTTTTAAACTAACAGTCAATCTACAGAACACGTCCCTCAGTCAGCCGTCCACCAGTTTACTGATTACGTTCTTATACGACGAGAAACTGTACGCCTTCAAAAAATCCTTCATTGAGCTCTCTATTCTGCTATAATTTTAATTTAAAGCTTAGCTGTTTATTAAATTTTTTCTGGTGTAAAATTACAGTGCATGAGATGAAAATCTAAGATTTCTAAATGTCTTTCAATGTTTATCAGGTGCCTATGCTGGTTCCCGGTCTGAATTATGCCTTTGAGACGTTTGTTGAATGTTTGAGTGACAAAGGGGTCTCAGGTAATATTAAGGTATCGAAAATGAAATTTATAAAGATTAATAAACCAAATTATCTGTATTTAGAGCATACAGTGGGTGTTACCAATCAACAGATTTAAAGGATGCTTACTTCTCAATGGCACCTGATCCCACCTTTTATGTATTAAATTAAGATGTCTGTGTTTGCTCTGCTCCCATTTTTAGATCACCAGTTTAAACCTATTGCTATCCGTTTTCGTCTGTCGTCGTGCGTCGTGCGTTGTGCGTTAGAATTTGAACATTTTCAGCTTCTTGTCTGCAACCACTGCACCAATTTCAACCAAATTTGACAAAAAGCATCTATGGGTAAAGGGGAACAAAAATTGTGAATTTCCTTACCCCTGCCCCCCTGGGGCCTGAGAGGTGGGGCCCAAACCACTAAAATTAATGCAATCATGAAAAATCTTCTTCTTTACTCCTGGATATAGGGCAGTCAAACTGTTTGCATGATTGTAATAATCAATGAGTACTCTACCAAAATTGTGAAATTCATGGCCCTGGGGTCAGGGGTTCTAGTGCTAGGGCGGGGCTAAATAATTAGGTAGTGAAAATGCATTATTTCTTTGAAAATCTTCTTCTCTGCCCCTGGGTATTAAATAAACCAACTAAATACATATTTATGATGAGCAAGAGTGCCTCTACCAAAATTGTGAATTTTATGGCCCCAGGGTCAGGGGTTCTGGTGTTAAGGGGGGGGGGCTCTATTGATTATATAGTGAAAATACATGAATTCTTTGAAAATCTTCTTCTCTGCTCCTGGGTATTAAATAAACTAACTATGTGCATAGTTATGATGAGCAAGAGTTCCTCTACCAAAATTGTGAATTTTATGGCCCCATGGTCAGGGTTTCTGGTGTTAGGGCGGGGCTCTATTGATTATATAGTGAAAATACATGAACTTTTTGAAAATCTTCTTCTCTGCTCCTGGGTATTAAAAAAAACTAAGTACATAGTTATGATGAGCAAGAGTGCCTCTACCAAAATTGTGAATTTTATGGCCCCAGGGTCAGGGGTTCTGGTGTTAGGGCGGGACTATATAGATTATATAGTGAAAATGCATTATTTCTTTGAAAATCTTCTTCTCTGCTCCTGGGTATTAAATAAACTAACTAAGTGCATAGTTATGATGAGCAAGAGTGCCTCTACCAACATTGTGAATTTTATGGCCCCAGGGTCAGGGTTTCTGGTGTTAGGGCGGGGCTCTATTGATTATATAGTGAAAATACATGAATTCTTTGAAAATCTTCTTCTCTGCTCCTAGGAATTAATTAAACTAACTAAGTACATAGTTATGATGAGCAGGAATGCCTCTTTCAAAATTGTATATTTTATAGCCCCAGGGTCAGGGGTTCTGGTGTCAGGGCAGGGCTCTATTGATTATATAGTGAAAATACATTAAGTCTTTGAAAATTTTCTTTTCTGCTCCAGGGTATTAAGCAGATGAAATACCTTTATAGTTATGATGGACAAGGGCCTTAATCTTCCAGAATTGTGAATTTCAAGGCCACAGGGTCAGGGGTACCATAGAAGGGGAGGGGGCTGTACTTATATACTGAAAATATGAATGAATGGTTTGAAATCTGCTCCTTGGTATAAATCAAATATCAAGGCCTAAGGGTCAGGGGTTCATGTGTGGTAGGGGCACTACTGATTATTGCTGAATATTACTGATTAGTTGAAATGCACTTTTTGCTCCCCTACCCTGGGTATGGGCATTAAGTAAACAAACTAATCAACTGCTAAGTGTATTGTTATGATGATCAATGGTGCCTCTTTCAAAATTGTGAATGCCATAGCATCTGGCTTAAAACATGAATCAAATTCAATCACTGGAAAGTTGTTGCATAATGCTCAGGTGACCTATAAGGCCCATGGGCCTCTTGTTAGCTCACCTCAACGAAGTTGGGGGAGCTTATGTAATACCCTCGGCGTTGGCGTCGGTGTCGGTGTCGGCGTCGGCGTCGATGTCGGTGTCGGCGTCCCAGGTTAAGGTTAAGTTTATGGAGCAGTTTTCTTGTTAACTATTTCTATGTCCTATATGGATTAGACATGCATGGAAGATGGTTCTAGATGTGTTTCGTTGCATCAAAGTTTCAGATGCTGCAATTTCAGCAAAGGAATGACCAGGTTAATGTTTTTGGAGCAGGTTAATATTTTTGGTGCAGTTTTTGGTGTAGGTTTCATTTCCAAGTAACTATAAGCCCTATGTTGACCAAACTTGCATGGATGATACATCTAAGGATGCAAACTACCGGGCTTGCTTCGGATGCTGAATCTGACCTTCATTTTCCGGTTGAGTGAACAGGTTAAAGTTTTTGGTGCAGGTTTCATTTCCAAGTAACTATAAGCCCTATGTTGACCAAACTTGCATGGATGATACATCTAAGGATGCACACTACCAGCCTTGCGTCGGATGCTGAGTCTGACCTACATTTTCCGGTTGAGTGAATAGGTTAAAGTTTTTGGTGTAGGTTTTATTTCCAAGTAACTATAAGCCTTATGTTGACCAAACTTGCATGGATGATACAACTAAGGATGCACACTACCGGGCTTGCTTCGGATGCTGAATCTGACGTACATTTTCTTGTTGAGTGAACAGGTAAAAGTTTTTGCTGAGGTTTCATTTCCAAGTAACTATAAGCCCTATGTTGACCAAATTTGCATGGATGATACATCTAAGGATGCATACTACCAGGCTTGCTTCAGATGCTGACTCTGACCTACTTTTTGTGGATGAGTGAAAATGTTAGTTTTTGATGCATGTTTCATTTCCAATTAACTATGATCCCTATAATGAGCAAACATGCATGGACGATACATCTTAGGATGCAAACTAATGGACTTGCTTCAGATGCTGAATTTGACATACATTTTTCAGATAATAGACCAGGTAAAAGTTATGGGTTCAGGTCTATTTCCAAAAAAACTATAAGGCTTACATAACATTGTATAAACCAAACTTGCACAAATGTTGCATCAAGAGATGAAAACTCTCAAATTTGCTTCAGATGCTAGATTTCAATTACATTTATATGAAGAATAACTAGTTTATATTTTTAATGTAGGGCCTCTATTTCAAAGTAACAGATCAGAATTGCTTTAACATTTTCATTTTTGGAATGTACACTTCTTGTTGGTTGTGTGACTTTACCTTACTTAAAGACAACATTCGTTGACGTGAGCTCTGTAATCTCTGATTACCTATGTTTATCATTTCAAGTCACTGAGCTTCACAATTGTTTGTTATCACCACATTTCATCATGATTAGATGCCTTTATATGGTTTATCCATCTTTTTGTTTTAATTTTAAATGTTTATTAGTCTTAATTTTAACGTATTTCAATACCTTCAAGTTTTAGAAGTCAAACTTTTAAGTGTTTGAAAAAAACACCTAAGAATTGCAAAAAACCTTGTATACATAAGCTTCATTTATGACCTGTTTTGGTCAGGCATTTGTTTTGAAGGAAGGTTCCCAGGTCCCTATAATCACTGGGGTAATTAGCATGCCCTGCACTGATGTGGAACCTGTGTCTAAAGTCTGCACCAAGAACGAGGATCTCTTTGAAGAAACAGTAAAGACCGCCTAACTTAATAACAGCATGACATAGAAATAACATTGTAACTCAGATAATGGAGACTGATGCATGTAGTGTTGAAAGTAACATTAGGAATACTACATTTTATAATATTTTGCAGAATAGGTAAAAAAAAAAAAGGGGGTGACTAAGAATTAAAATTGATTATTAAAAAGGTACTGAGAGATGCATGCTGATCTCTGCCAGAACCCAGTAAACTCTGAATTCCTAGAAATAACCCTACTTTACCTAAACAGCTGTGTGTTCTAATCTATGCAAAACATAAAGAAAATTAACATTTTCATCCTTGAGGAAACCTTTTTTAAAGTTCTTCCTTATTCTTGAAAGAAGAGTTACATGTACTTCTATTAATGTTTAAATAACTTATTGGAATCTGAACCGGAATTATTGAAAAACTGCTAAGTTACACTTTGGGGGGGTTTGTTGCAGTAAAGTTGTTGTGTATTCAGCAAATTTTTCAGGTAGGCAGTATATTTAATTTGTTAGCTTAGAGTTCTGCTAAAAATCGAACGATCCCTTAAGACAATCTTCAAAATCATACAAGTTTTTTTTTTTTTGGGGGGGGGGGGGGGGGGGGGGGTATTTAGTTCAGTAGGAAAAAGTTTATTTTTCATTGCTTTCTGTTACTGTTGCTCAATGCGAAGTGTAAGATGGATCATTTGTTTGTGTGTTTGTTAGTAACTTATACTTTTTGTATTATAACAGGTGTTTGTTAGTAACATTTACTTTTTGTGTGTTTGTTAGTAACTTATACATTTTGTATTATAACAGGTGTTTGTTAGTAACATTTACTTTTTGTATTATAACAGGTGTTTGTTCTAAAGGACGGGAAGAGTGTTCCTATCATTACAGGCTTAATCAGCATGCCTGTCAGCGAGGGATTGGTGGTGGTCTGAGGTCATCAGAGGTCAACAAAGGTCATACATCTACACCCATGCCAAGCTTATTTTCCCTTTTTGATGTGAATTTCTCTCAGTGAAGAAACATTTTGTGAATTGTAAAATTGTACTTTTATTCCATGATGGAAATATTAAATGACATTCAAAGAACTGTTTATGTGCAATGATAAAATATTGAGATACTGAATATGTAATATTTATTGTTTTAAGGGTGAATGTAATCTTACCTTATTATTTTGAGTGACGAAAAATGATTTTTGTTGTTTTTTTATAGTTTTTTTTTTTCAGTATTCCGTCCATATGACTATTTTTTTGTTACTCTATTGTGCGACAAAAAAAAATAAGATTGTCAGTAAAAATTGTTCATATTTTGCATTCATTTTGTAAAATAGATTTGATACACTATTTTCCTTTGCTAGATTAAAATTTAACATATATTTCTTGTCCATTTTATGTGTGTGTGTTAAATAAGTCTGATAGTGCATCAAGTCTCAACGTTGCCTAAAAATAAAGGACCTAGCTAGCTCCTGACCCTAAAATTTAGCTGAAAACAAAAGTTCTAAGATCTAGTCCGACTTGCAAGCATTTTAGACATGAACTTAACAAACACACATGAATGGTGTAATTTCTGAAACTTTTCCGATTGTGTTAATAGATGAATTAAAAAGAAGCATAAAGGATGATATACTAGTATTCAAATAAAATATTTGTAAATCCAATGTTCTAGATCGCCATATCAATTTAAAATTGTTTGTTTTTAGAGACATGAAGAGATCCTAGTAGCCAATAAATATTTTAGTATCAACTTTTAGACAAATTAAATTAAAATTAGAAAAAACAAAGGTAATTTAACTCAAAAGACTTTGTTTCTTTTGAGTATGTCTGTCAGTCTGTCCCACTCAAATTGGCTTTTGTTAATTTTCACTAAATGCTTATGACATGAAGCTGATTTATGGTATGTGAGTCTATCCTGATGAGTTGCATTTTCATTTTGCTTTATGGATTTTGACAGTATTTCAATCTTTTAATTTTGAAGGCTGGCGCACGCGCCAGGTTTTCAAGCATTTTTTCTGCAGGCTTGCAAATATTGAGCTGATTTTTGGTATGTAACTTTACCTTGATGAGTTATATATCAAGTTTGCATTTTACACCTGCTGTTAGGGCAATACTCTGAGAGTGCTTGTTTCTTACATGTACATAACCATCTAGGTTCTTCATTTATTTTAACAGTTTAAACTTACAGAAATATTTCTTTTGTCAACATAATTTATATGATATTATGTAATCAGATTTCCATGGGTTATTTGATAGTTAGTATCTCAGTAACCAATTTTTATTTATCCTTGGTTATGATCAAACTGTTATGCTTTTTCACTGCAGAAATTTTATTTTTCTCACTTTCCCTTCATGATTTTCAGCAACAAATAGATTGTCATTTGTGTCTATATACAGTCCTACTGTATTAATCAATCCACAGTCTATGTAACGGAGGAACTGTCCATCCTGGTCTATGATGTGGACACAGTGATTATTATTATCAGCTGTAAGGATGTGACTCTGACTGTCTGTGGTGATTCCTAGTGGACTGAATGGTTGGTTCTTAGGTAGGACGAGCATGTCCAGTGTACCTGAATCTCATTTTCCCGGCCTGATTGACCACCACTACTGCTCTAGCTCCATTGTCAGACACACAGATATCCAGGTTCCTGTTCTCAGTTATTAATATTTCATTACTATGGGATGAATAGAGAGCTTTACCCTCTTCATCAAACTGAATGGTTTGTTTCTCTGTGGAGCCAGAGTAACGGACAACTTTTGTTTGTTCTTTATCATTACTGTACATGATAACCAGGAGGTCACCAGAGGAGGTACTACAAACACCGCGAGGTCTCCCGTTTTGTAGTCTGATCACCTCCTCTATCTTCTCATTCTTCACAATGTTCACATTCTATCAATGTTATCAGTATAAACTAGATCTCCACTTTTTGTCACTGCTATGTCATATGGTGTCTTCCCTGACTTGGTTTTGATTGACTTGAGTAGTGGTCCCTCATTGATGCTGAAGAGTTTCATGGTGTTGGAACTGCCACTTGTCCAAATTTTTTCATTACTCAGACAGGCCACATTGAAAAGCTGTCCAAACCCAGTGTCTGTGGTGGTGATAGTCTCTGGTTCATCAAGCAGTTGTTTGACTGGAGGAGAGAATTCAGCTTCTGGTGATTTTTGTGTTGTCTTCATGCTGTAGCCATGTTTATCTGATGTAAGGGAGCTCCGTGATAAAGTTCCAAACAGTTCGCTGAGATCTTCTCCTTGAATTCTGTCTTGTGTGAATTTTGGCAAATATGACACAATTTTTTCTGGGAGATTTTTATATCTTCTTATTTGAACAGATGCAAATTCAAAAGTCTCTGAAATTACATTGGAGTCTACAACAGTATTAATTGAATCAATTTCATCCTTGATGTCAGACATTGTCTTGTTTATTTCATCCAGATGTTTCTGTAGAGTTTGTAGCTGTGTGTTTTTCATGACATCAGCTTCAGCTTTCAGTTTTTTGACAAGTTTTGTCAATTTCTCTGTGCCAGTCCTCTCCATGTTTTGTTATGGCTGTTGAGAGATCTCCATATTCCTTTTCTAATTGACTCATTCTGTTTTGTACTTCAGAGGCAATGTCCTGGTAGGTGGGGTAAATTGTATCATTTAATTCAGCTAGTTCTTTTGTGATCTTTTCTTTTTTCTTATCTAAAACTTGTAAGATTTTTGATAATTTATGACCAAGATGTTGATCAGAAGCAAGGCAGGTGACACACACAGGAATGTCACATTGGTTACAGAACATTTCACATCGTTCTTTGTCATGAGATATGCATGCAGGGAAGAGGGGGGTAGTTTTTCTCAGAGTAAATTTAACGATTTCATGTTTTTTGGATTCATCAGATATCATGTGTTCTCCCACACAGGCCTTACACAGGTTGACAAGACACGTATCACAGTGCATCTGTACCACAGCGGTCTCACACAGGTCACATCGCATCACGTCCTGGGCACTGGTACGGGGGTCCATCATTGAACTAAGCCTGGTATTGAAAAAAATGGCAATTATTAAAATATTCCTAGAGCACTTCGATAATATAATCAAATCAAACGACTCAATATATACTTTAATTTCAAATGAGGAAATTCAGAGAATTGTAGTCTTGAGATTTAATGGGTTGGAGTGCAATGGTTTATGGCATATTTAAACAGCCTTAAAGCTGTACACGACTCGTAAAAAGGCATACGCCATTCTCGATATAATTATCTACGATACATCAACACTAGAGTATACTTGTCGCATTCGTTACACCTGACTGCTTTGTCACTGGTATCGGCGTGGAATGGCGACCCGTGTTCGTGCTGGTTATCTTGCATTTATACCTTAGTTTACATTTTATTGCAGTTATGTGTATCTTTGTTGTTTGTATACTGCACTGACCTATATAATTGTAAATTTATTTGGTATCTTACTTTCCTGCATTTGACGAAGTATTGCGTTATAATTCTATCTACTGAGCCCTGTATAGCATACGTCCGTCTACGACAGTGTCGACTGATTACACTGAACAGTGACGAAATTCTTCCCTTTATATACTGGTCTGCAGAGGAGCGAGAATCTGGAACAAAAATGGCAGACACATTCCTTTTACGAATTGTGTTCAGCTTTAAGCAGATAAGCTCATGTGACTTTTTTGGATCACATTCTGTCTGGCGCCCCTCTATATGTAAACAGTGTCAACTTTAATCTCAAGAACACCTTGGCCAATTGTAACTGAAAACCTAAAGCTACCTTCACAAAAAAGTCCATTCAATTATTAATGAAATTTTTGGCAAGTCCTCTAGCTGCTGTTGCCTCTTAACTTTGTACAAATAATTATACATTACAGACACTGTAAAAGATTCCAAAAGATATGCTAAAATAAACATTACAACTGTTCGATCCTTGCTCGAGTACAACTGATTCACCCATTCACTTTGTCACATTAGTCATGGACCTGTATATATATTGATGTCAATTTCACATTGTGACATCTTAAACATTAAGCAATATATGATATTACACATGCCAGTACAGAACATACAGGTTTATGACTATATCTTTACATTTGCAAATGTTTTCCTTTTTATAACACTACTGAAAGAAATGCAAATAATACCGGTACAGGGTCAAGAGGTCATATATGCATATGGATAAACGTTTGACGTAATTTCTCAGTGACGTCATGAAGGGTCGACGTGCGTTCAGTGGATTTCATACATGCCATTGAGTTTGAAAATTAATGCATTTCACATGTTAAAAGTCACAATCAGGCAAATATAAAGTATGAATAAGTCACAAATGTAAATATAAGTAATAAGGTATCATTTTAAAACATCATCGGGCTATAAATATGGGTTTATACAAGATCAAATTCATCATAAAAGCCTTTCGGGCTTCATGGAATTTAATCTTGTGACCAACCCATATCTATATCCCGATAGATGTTTTAAAATGATACTTTACTTCTTAAATGCATGTCATGATTTCATTTTGATGTGAACTGTTGTTTATGTAAAGGCAGAGATAATTTCGCAAACTTTTTGATCACTCCTATTTTTACCAACCAACCACTTTCCACGGTATCCAAAAGGATTCCACTGGCCAGGCATGCAAAAGTGTAAATTAAATGCCCATTTTCATTGTGTTTTTATGAATGGCACATTACATAACATCACTTGTCTGAATTAAGATATAAATTTAAATAATTGTTACCTTAAGATCACAACAGATTTTAAGATGATATAAATATAAGAATTTAGAGGCACACAGCAATGAAACAAACTTTATAAACAAAGTTTGATTAAAAGTAATATTTGTTAATAAATCGATAATCATATATATATATATATATATATATATATATATATATATATATATATATATATATATATATATATATAAAGCTTTTGAAAATAAGCCTGAATTGCTACAAAAATGTTGTTTGATATGTATACATTGGCCAAATTTGAGTCCTTGCTGAAACACTAGTACACCTCAAATACCCGAGAACACTTTTTTCTATTTATAGCTTTAAATTGTCCTTGTTTATGGGTACATGTATAGAGTCTTATAATTAAGATTTTATGCTTATCAGTAGTTGTATATTCAAAATACTGTTAAAGCAAATCTTGTCGATCTTTTTGAAAATTATCTTATTGTAAATTTAATCATTTAAATTATCAAATAAATTCATCAATGAATGTTACCTGCAGATTTTAATTAATGGCGCCTGCCGTGTCGGCCATAAACAGAAAAACAGTCTGTCGCTATATACAGAGTTCACATGACCCACATATCTGTGTTATCTATGACAGGTATTTTACTTCCTCGTCTGTGAACATTTAGGATTTAAATTAGCAACTTTTCTTGATTTGCCAAATTTATTCGTTACCAATACTACTAGTATATGATTTGAATAAAAATACTTTTTTAAGTGCCTTAATTTTGTATATTTTGAATTAAAAATTAATAATTTAGAGTGAACATTCTCTTTAATTTACCTAGAAAACTTGGTATAACAAAACACTCCTTAGTTGTCCCCCACTTTCGCGAAAGCGAGGGGACATTAAATCTCATTCGTCTGTCCGTCACAAAAACTTTAACCTTGCCCATAACTTTTGATTTAGTGGAGCTATGACTTTAATATTTCACATGTGTATTCCTTGTGATAAGACCTTTCTTTGGGTACCATCAAATTTGACCTTTTGACCTTGGAGTTTGACCCACTCTTACACAAAAATTCCAAACTTTGACTTTGGCAATAACTTTTGAATGGTAGATACTAGGGCTTACATATTCAATATAAATATTTTTGTGACAAGACCTTTCATTGGATACCAAGAACTTTGACCTTTTGACCTTGACCTTTTACATGAAAATTCCAAACTTTTACTTTGGGCATAACTTTTGAATGGTAGGTACTAGGACTTTCATATTTCACATTTGTATTTTTTGTGGCAAGACCTTTCATTGGATACCAACAACCTTGACCTTTTGACTTTAACCATGGAAATTTACGTACTTATGAAAAAACCTTTAACCTTGACCATAACTTTTGAATGGTGAAAACTAAGGCTTTCGTACTTCACTTATGAAATTCCTGTGAGAAGACCTTTCATTGGATACCAAGAACTTTTACCCTTTGGCCTTGACCTTGGAGTTTTAACGTCTTTTAAAAAACCTTAACTTTGGTCACAACTTTTGAACAGTAGATACTAGGACTTTCATATTTCACATATATATTCTTTGTGGCAACACCTTTAATTGGATATCAACAACTTTGACCTTTTGACCTTGACCTTAAAGATTTACGTACTTATGAAAAAACTATTCAAAAGTTATGGACAAGGTTAAAGTTATTGTGACGGACAGACTGACGGACAGACGAATAAGATTTAATGTCCCCTCGATTTCGCAAATGTGGGGGACAAAAAATTGAAATAAACAATGAGAAACTAGTAAATATTGATTATATTTTGCATTCATTTCGTAAAATAGTTTTGATATTATACTATTTTTCTTTGCTATATACAATTAAATTGAACATTTATTTCTTGGCTATTTTATGCATATATTTTAAAACAGCCTGACTGCATGTACTAGTGCATCAAGTCTCAACATAGCCTAAAAATAAAAAAAACCAACTGGCACCTGACCGACAAAATGTAGGTGACAACAAAAGTTTTAGGATCTAGTGATTCTAGTCCAACTTGCAAGCATTGCGGGCATGAACTTAACGAACAAACAAAAATGATATCATAATTTCTGAAATTTTTTTATGATTGTTAATGTTTTTATAGATGAATCAAAAAGAAGCATTAAGTTTTCTTCATGTGCTGTAATTTCGTTCTTTTTAGCTTCACATCATATATTTGATTTTCTTTATTTTCTTGCTTCTATATTCTGCAACAAACAGATTGTCATTTGTATCTGTACACAGTCCCAAGGGTTCAGAAATTCCAAAGGTTATGTAACAGAGGAACTGTCCATCCTGGTCTATGATATGGACACAATCATTGATATAATCAGCTGTAAGGATGTGACTCTGACTGTCTGTGGTGATTCCTTGAGGACTGAATGGTTCCTTTTTTGGAGCAGGGGTGTGTCCAGTGTACCTGAATCTCAGTTTCCCGGCCCAATCGACCACCACTACTGCTCTAGCTTTATGGTCTGACACACAAATATCCAGGTTCCTGTTCTCCGTTATTAACCTCTTTGCGGGACCAGAGGAATAGAGAGGTTTACCTTCATCATCAAATTCAATGCTTTGTTTTATTGTGGAACAGTGGTAACGTAAAATCTGTGTTCGTTCGTTATCATTGTTGTTCAAGATAACCAGAAGGTCCCCAAAGGAGGTACTGCAGGAACCATCAGGTCTCCAATTCTTTTGTCTCACCAACCTCCGTATCTTCTCATTCTTCACAATGTTTACAGTGCCATCCATTAAATCGACATAAATTAGATCTCCATTATTTGTCACTGTTATGTCCTCTGGTCTGTACTCGGACTTAGTTGCAATTGACTTGAGCATTGATCTCTGACTTATGCTGTAGAGTTTCATGGTTTTGTCTTGTCCAGTTGTCCAGATTTCGTCATCACTCAGGCAGGCCACATTGTAAAGCAAGTGATAATCCGTCTCTAAAGTGGTGATAATCTCCGGTTCCTCGAGAAATTGTTTCAATGGAAGGGAGGCATCGTCTTCCAATGATCTATCTTCAGTCTTCAAGCTGCAATCAAGTCCATCTTCTAATAATAAACTTGATGATAAACCTCCAAACACTTTGTTGAATTCTTCTTCTTTGATTTTTCCCAATGCCAATTTTGGTAAAGATGGCTCAGCTACTTGAGGCGGATTTTTATATCCTTCTATATCAGTCGTGACATTAATAAGCTTTGTGATGTCCATGTAATTGATCAATCTTTCCATGGAACTGATTTCATCCTTGATTTCGGATATTGTCTTGTTTATTTCATCCATATGATTCTGCAGAGTTTGTAACTGTTTGTTTTTCATCTCATCAACTTGATTTTTCAGTTTCTTGACAACCTTTTCAATTTGTTTGTGCCAGTCCTCTCCATGTTTTGTTATGGCTGTTGAAAGATCTGCATGGTCCTTTTCCAACCGACTCATTTTGTTCTGTACATCAGAGGCAATGTTCTGGTACATGGGGGAAATCGTCTCTTTCAATTCAGTTTGTTCTTTGATTATCTTTTTCTTTTTCTCGTTGAGAACGTGTGAGATTTGTAAAATTTCATGACCTAGATGTTGATCAGTCCTGAGGCAGGCATTACAGGCAGGGACATCACATTCATTACAGTACATTTCATATCTTTTTTTGATATGAGATGTACAAAAAGGATAGAGCGGAGATTTTCTTAGAGCGAATCTCACAATTTTGTGTAGTTTAGATACACCAGACATCATGTGTTCTCCCACACAGGCCTTACACAGGTTGATAAGACACGTGTCACAGCCCATCAGTGCCTCGCCAGTCTTACACAGCTCACATGGCCTTCGGACACTGGTCCTGGTCGGATCCATGTCCAAGTAATGCCTAAAATATAAGTTCGAGAAAATGTTAAAGTTATTGTACTGCACCTAAATCAGAGAAATTTATCTGCATCGACAAGTCATAATAATTGCAGTTAAAATGGTGTTTGCGAATATGTATCCTTTATGTTGAATGTTGACTGCCTTTTTTCATACAAATTGTTAGACCATTATTTTCACACTAAATTATCAACGGATTTTTCCATAAATCCCCCTCAATACAATTATGATGACACCGCGGGTTGTGACTGATCTGAAAGGAAAGCTCATTTCTTCATGGCATCTGATCCTCTGTTAGCAGAGGCCCTTGATTGCTCTGCTTGCAATCAGTTCAGTTTAATGGAATTTTAAATTCTTATTATGGAAAATTTGCGAAACAACAACAGTATAGACTTGAAAAGAAATACTTAAGGAAGCTCTTTAGACACTGCTGTCTTAAGAGTTTAAGTTATTTACCTGAATATGTATAAGCTACCTTTTCATGTATATAGACTGCAACAGTAGAAGACACCATTGACTTTATTAATACCAGAGACATATAATCAGGTCCAGGAAAATCACTATATTTAGCTAAATAGCTTAATTTACTGAGTATATACACGATTCTTTTGCACAAGTTTTACAGAGTTATCGCGCTTTGTCACACGGCGGCGTTGTCGTCGGCCGCCATTACGGTGCTGATAATGTGATAAGAGTGACAGTAAGCACTATGAACAAATGGGTGACAAATGCATTGTTTTCTTTGTTTTCCAAAGTCGGACATGCTGAGATACGACTGGAAAAGTATGTTAGTATAGTAAATAAATTTAACGAGAAGATATACACGTGTGTGTGTTTTTTTTTAAGTCAAGTTTTCAATTTCATTTTACTATAGTTAACCGCTCGTAGGTATCCGAAACCTTTTTATTTGACGCTTAGCATATAATTTTATACACCATGTGCTGGTTTACTAAATAAAAATAATTATCAATAAAAATAAATTGAGACAAAATTAGAAAAAAAAATTTGTTTCCCATTTTATAAAAAAAAAATATGTGTCAGTCGAGAAAATCTATAGACGACCGTCGTGTTATTTATCCAATTTTACCTTACGGATATTAATTTATTTCATACTCTATAAAGTGATATACTAAAAAGAATTAATACTTTCTTTATCTGATTTTAATTACAATTCACATTGGCCTATATACAATCATGTATATGAACATGTCGAGAAAATCATTTTACACCCCCCCCCCCCCTTTTTCTTTTAAACATGACTTAGTTTCATGTATTACATTTATAACATTTGAGTAGGAAAAATCTAAACAAAATCTTCATATCATTTTAGAGTGTGCTGTTATATTAAATACGATTATCGTTTTTATGAAATGATTTCACACATGTTGGTTGTGTGAAATCACTTAAGAAAGAAAACAAAAACATTTTTTTTTTTAAAAATGGGAAGTTAAGCGTTGTGTGAACATTAAACTGACTTGCATTCTGAGATATACACATGTATAAGTAACTTAAAACTTCAACCGCATTTAACTCAAGGTCAAGTACACATGAAGCTGTATATAAAACTGCAAAATTAAGAAAGAAAAAGGAGAAAATTGTAGTAATTAATTAGTTCTAGATTTATCGTTATACCGGTATAATATAGGCGTCGGAAGCAATTTAGTCTAACTTGAAATAGATAAGAAAATCAAGGCAGGGAAGGGTGATACTTTAAATAAATCAATGATCCGCTTGATCAACCTGTAATAATATTGAAACCATGCACATGTATCCCTAAGAAATTTAGTCAAAAAATATTCACAATGACAGATGTAGATGTGTCGGGCCTGGAAGAGATTTTGTCGTCCTTTATAAATTTTGTTTAACGTCCATGGCACGCAGAATTTTTTTAAAAATGACATGTGAATAAATACGAGAAGGGTAAGTTAAAAGGGGAGGATCAGTTGTCAACTCGATCGCCCCTCTTTAAAACATCCTAGATATTCATTTGCCAATATCCCACGAGGACCCATGAATAATGAATAATTTAACACGTATACAGCTTATAATGAACTAGAAAAATAATCATCGCAGAAATGAAAATAGGAATTGTAAAAAGTTCCAGTCGTATATTTGTTTTTATTTGTATGCTAATATTTATTTTCCAAAATGGCTTTACTACGCACCTGTTATAATTTTACTGGAGACCACCACCCCCCCCCCTCTCTCACTCTCTCTCCCTCTTTCTCACTGTGTAAAAGATATAATATTCTTACTTATATAAGTCTTGCTACATGTAAAATTTATTTCAAAGAAAACCCGGCTTAATATTCATTAAACCACTGAAATTACGGATGAAATATAACCAACTCTGCCTAAAACAATAACAATCAATCGATCATTATTGATTTTAAAACATATAATTACACGAACAATGAAGAAAAAAATAAGACCAAATCAAAGAATGAATCAGTTAACGTTTATATTAATTACTTCATATGAACGCGTGTTTGTATAAGTATTAATTACGCCAAAAAATTGATGAATAACGGAGAAAAGTTACTGCACTGAGTATGACCGAATTATGACGTTATCAGCACCTTCATGGCGTCAAGTCATGTGATCCAAACATGGCGACGCCCATAAATAAGGTCAGAGAATAGAGTATATAGCTTTATTTTATAATATAGAAGAAAACGGGTGCGTCGATTTACCCAAATGGACCCAAATGGACCCAAATGAACCCAAATGGACCCAAATGACGACCCAAATGGACCCAAATGGACTTAGTTGGCGACCCAAATGGACTAAATTATGATGAAATAGTAATTAATTAATTATTTATATTGATGTAGCATCGTTTTTGAAAGTGGGGGGGGGGGATCGGCTTTTCAATGAACATTTTCAGTAGTAAAAAGTTATCTCTGGAAAATAGGTGTGTGTGTGTGGGGGGGGGGGGGGTGGCCCTCCTGTTGCTTCGTACCTGATTTACTCAAAAAGATTAAAAATTTGTGAATCTTTCCGATTGGTAAACTCTAATATATTTTAAAATAATTCGCTTGGATGTAATGAATAAAGTACGCATTTTTGCCTATACAATATTTTGAATTTTTGTGATAAACATAAAACACATTCAGCAGCTTTTATTTTATTTATTCTGAATATTCAACGATATTTATATCTAAATGCAAAAATAAATAATTTTATTTTAAATGTATAGATGCATTCTAGTTTTGAAAAAAAGTCCACAGAAGTCCATTTGGGTTGCCATTTGGGTCCATTTGGGTCGTCATTTGGGTCCATTTGGGTCGCCATTTGGGTCCATTTGGGTTCATTTGGGTCCATTTGGGTCCATTTGGGTAAATCGACGCGCCGAAGAAAACTAACGTACTGTAAGAAACAAGCGCTTGTGTATACAGGTGATATAGGTAGATTTAGCTATA